CCTTTGCTTCCGCAATACAACTTGTCTCCCTCCTCCGTCCCTCATCCTCCGTCGCCCTCTTTTCATTTTCACCATGCCTTTTTCTGCTCCCCTCTTTTCCTCAACGCCTCTCCTTCATCCCACTGCCCCCCATTCCTAATTTCCTCGACCCCCCAATGGCCTATCCCCAGCGCCCTATTCTCCCCCTCCCAACCAAACGCCCTACTACCCCAAACGTTCCAACCCCAACGCCCCGCCCCCAGCGCTCTACGCCTGCGGCGCGTCTTCCTCCGCTTCTGCGCTCGGCGCGGTGAGAACGGGGGCGCGGCGAGAACGGGCGCGTGGACGAGGCCGCCGACGGTGACAGCGACCAGCGGCTGTAAAGCCCTGCTCCACCGCCCTACCCCAGCGCCCTGCCTCAGTGCCTGACGCAGCGCATTTCCTTATCGATTTGCCCCAGCGCCCTGCCCAGCACCCTAGCACAGTTCAACGTCCCAGCACCCTGCCCAAGCGTACGGGCGCACCTTACTGAGGCTCTTGCGCGCGTCGGCGTGCAGAACGTCGAAGTAGGGCAACGCGAAGATGAGCCCGGTGGCGGCGATGAGCAGCACCTTCACCACCGGCAGCACCGAACTCATCACCAGGAAACTCAGCGGCAGCGCCGCCGCCTGCAGCGCCTGATGCACCTCGCTCCCCGCCATCGCCGCCGTCGCAATCGGGAGGGGAGGGAACACAAGTCTTGAAGTACTATTACAGAAACAGGAAATGGCGAGAGGGGTGGGGTTGGAACGGGGTCGAATGGTATTTCACTCTGATCGCGGGGTTGCGCGTGCTGTGCGCGCGCTCTCGCAGCGGGGCTCGGCTCCGCACGCGGCGAGCCGGCGGGCGCGCTGGTCGCTCCCCGGGAGGGCACGCTTGCGGATGCGCGACGCGGTCGTGGCGGACATGCGACGGGAGGTTCAGGTGTACACGATATTTTATTCGAGTCTGATCGCCGGGATGCGGCGCGTGCTGTGCGGTATGCGTTCGGACACAGCCGCATCCATGAAGCGAGCGGCTGCTAGAGACTAATCTGGAATGTGGGGGTGGCGATGCGGTAGCTACAAGTCCTTCCACTCAGCTCATCGGGTAGTAGCAACTAGCCCTAGCGGAAGCTAGCTGGACAGGCACCAAAAGGTTCATCGAGCGAGCTTGACGAAGGGCTCAAAGGATGAGGTGAGGATGTTTTGTGAAGGGTTGGAAGCAATGCGATGCGGTGTTTGAGTCTAAGGTGGTAGCTTCCTTCTGTCGCACGGTCGGTTGGTCCGCGTCGCACAGAGGTTCTCGTGGCAATTCTGCGGGAGAGCCTCGGCTGGTAGGCTGAACCAAGCACAAGTCTCCCATTTGTAACCAATCGCGGAACAAAAACCAAACGCTGACGAATAGCACCCAATCTCGTCAAGGCGCGTGTACATTCACTTGTTCAGCGACGTTATTGTGCGACGAAGGTCGAGCCGGAGCTTGTTGGTCACCTTGGGATGACCACAAGGAATTGGCCAGCCAAACTGGGCCTTGCTGAACCTGGCACTATCATGAAGGAAGGAAGCAACGAACGGGAAAACGCACCGCGTTGTAATATCGATTCGTCGTTTTTCGTCACCGACAGTGAAACCTGACTCATGGGCGCCCCACAAACTCTTCAGTCGCACACATATCATTCCCAACATTTCGCGTGTGATTTCGCCGTCGCAACTCACTAGAGCCAAGCCCAGTGTCGCATGTCGCACTAGTATAATTCAGTGGTCCCTAGTATGACGCACTGGAGCCAAGCAATGCATTATATGTGGCACATATAATGCATGATATAAATCGCGCTCCGAACCTCGGAGCTAAGATGGCGCGGCGGCTGCCATGCTTGGCTGGCGCTCGTAACTCGCGATATAAGTCACCAGCTCAGCGCATTTCATTCGTTCCGCCTTTTGCTCTAGACTGTCCTTCATTCCACCCATCGTCTCGCTTGGTGATTGCAACCCTAAACTTACCGCTGAACTCAACACGCTCCACTGTTGCGCCTCTTCTCTCGCCTCTTCCCCAGCCTCTTTCTGCCGTCTCTCCCGCGGGAGCCTCGTCGTCATCATCATCATGGGGTCGATGCGCGCCTCTCCTGCCGGACTCCTGCTGCTCGCCGTTGCCCTCATCGCCGGTCAGTCTGCTTCTCATTGCCTTCTCCCATTGATTCAACATATATTGCTACTGGTCCGCCCTTGCCTTGATCCGGCGTAAGCTCTTTAGAACCGTGCCTTTCTTCCGAGTAATCCCTCCTTCCTGCTCGCTGTTCTCGACCTCTTATATACCTCGGTCCTCTCCTTTGTCGTCCCTCTCTGCTCTCTCAGATCTTCTTTCTCTCTCTTCTCTTTACACCCTCTCCCTTGTCCTCTGCAGCAGTTCAGATGACGAAGGCAGCGAATGGTGACGACACGGTGAAACGGATGACACACCGTAGCATGCTGCGGAGCACGCTGAAAGGCGCGAACGGCGAAGGCATGGTGGCAGAAACAACGAGCAGGAAGGTCAATGCGAGGATTGCGCAGGAGATTACGGCTAGTGGTACGTTGAGTGGGCATGGTTCTGAAGAGAGGGATTCTCAAGGCTGCGAATGAGGCTGCATTTTTCTCAAGTGCAATCTCCCTTTCGGCGGATCTCAGTACAGTTTCTCGTTTCGTGCCCTTATGACTTGCGTCTGCCATGCGCACAGTTCTCGTTCCGATGCCCGTATGGCTTCCAGATTACCATGTTCTTGTCTCTTGCCACTTTCGCTTCGCCTCTGCTGCAGATCCTGCCTGTGCGGCGTTGGGCTGTGAGCCTGTTGGCGGCAAATGCGAGGTGGACAAAAATGGAGAGCGCTACTGCAAGTGGGGTGAGTGCACGATGATCGTCTTTCTGCTGCCCTACCTCCTCTCCCTCTCACTTCTCTGGAACTCCACTCCTCTACCTGCAATCCCCACGGCGCTGCACTCTCACCCACCCCCCATGCATGCTTATCCCACCGTCTCTTTGCTCTGTTTCTCTTCTCCCTCATCCCCTCTGCCTCGCGTCCCCCCTCTGCCTCACGTCCCCACTCTGCCTCGCGTCCCCCCTCTGCCTCGCGTCCCCACTCTGCCTCACGTCCCCACTCTGCCTCGCGTCCCCCCTCTGCCTCGCTTCCCCCCTCTGCCTCGCTTCCCCCCTCTGCCTCGCTTCCCCCCTCTGCCTCTCTTCCCCCCTCTGCCTCGCTTCCCCCCTCTGCCTCTCTTCCCCCCTCTGCCTCTCTTCCCCCTATGCCTTGCTTCCTCCCTCCGCCTTGCTTATTCCTCTGCCTTGCGTCTCCCTTGTTTGCCAATCCCCTCTCACGTACCACACTGCACCCATTCCCAACCCTCAGCCTCACCATGTGGCTCGTGCCCCGTGGGAGCCACCTGCAAAACCTACCTGAAGCCGAGCACAAACGAGCTCCTTCCTTACTGTTCGTGCCCTAGCGGGTATGGGATGACCGCGACGAGCTGTGTTCAGGGTGAGCATGCATGCTCTCCTCACCCGGCCCGCTCGCTCCTCTCACACTCACCGCACTCTTTGCTTCACCTTTCTCGCTCTGCCAAGTTGGCTGAACTGCTGATGCTTGTGGGAATGTGGCGATGCATGCATAAACGTATATACGTTCTTCCTTGGTGCTTAGTCCTTAGGCAAGAGTGACAACACTTCGCTGAGTGTTTCCTTTGTGCCCCTCTTTACCAGGTGGAGCTCCCACCGTCTCTTCCTTCAGCTACACAGTCGTTGTGAATGAAACAGCCAAGGACGCGGCATCTCGACCCTGGACCTTCCGCCTCAACCCCAACGGGTGCACTGAGATCCCAGCTGCAGTGGCTGTGGCTCGCACGGTCACATCATACTATAGCCTTCAAAACATTGGCGATGCTCCAGCTTGCCGCAAGGTTGCTTACTACAAAGCAGATAAATGCGAAGGCGAAATTGATATCACATCATCTTCTCGCGATCAAGTCCCGTTTCTTGGAGAATATGTTCCAAACCCGCTGTGAGTGATTGATCGTGTTCCGCTTGCACTGTGAGTGATTGATCGTGTTCCGCTTGCATTGTGAGTGATTGATCGTGTCCCGCTTGCACGACTTCACAGCTTCTCCTCTTCATGCTTTTCACCAATCATAGAAGGAGTTACCTTGTGGGTCATCCTAGCCGTTTTGTCCTCCTTTTGTCACCTTTGACCAGAGGCATGCAGGTTCCTGGTTCAATTCTGTGCACTCAGTAGGATGGTCGAAATGGCATCATGGCACCACTGGCTGTGTTGTCATGTGCACATGCTTCAACTTGGATGGTTTCTCCTCTCCAATCAACAACATCTCCTCTCCGTTCCAACCAACAAAGCCCTTCTCCCTTCCACTCAATGAAGACCAGTGCAGAGAGTTTGTACCAGCCATTGCACTGGCCCTAGGGATGTCTGAGAATGAGAAGCCTTTGTAGATCCGCATGTGTTGCTTCAGAAGTTCAAACTGAACTTTTTACTGGGTTTGTTCAAGTCCGTTTCGATTGCGGAATTAAGACTGTAGAACGCACCCTTGCTACACTACAATCACACCTATCGTGACGATTTCAACAGGCATTTTTACGGGGCGAAGTCCCTCTATTTCTACCGGAGCCTTCGCATTAGGACAGTGCCACCACTGTAGAGCTGGTCAGGCACACATGCTGCACTATAGAGTGTAACAAGCTACACCTCAGGGCTGCGTGCAAGCCACTGCGTAGACTCAGGGCGTATTCCTACAGCCTCCTATCAAGAAACCTCCTATCAAGATTGTACCTTTTGCCTGGTAAAAGTAGCGAGAGATTTGGGGTTTAGGGAATTTTCCAGTGAGAGCTTGATAGGAGGTTTTCTTGATAGGAGGATAGGAATACGCCCTCAGAGGGTAGGAGGTACAGCTGCACAGGTGGGCGGTGCTGCAAGTTCAGAGCCAACTGACCACCTACACCATGCAAGCAGGAGAAACTCCTCTTCACGGGGCATGGGCGGCGGTGGCAGCACGGCGAGCGAGGAACATGAGTGACGGGTGGGCCGCCTCTGCATGCCTGCTGCCCCGCCCCTGGCCCTCCCCCCCGCCTCGCTTGCCTGCCTGCGCATGCTGCAGCAGGGGCACAGGTGGCGGCCTGGCAAGGCCCTTTGTGTTGCTGTGAGGGGTGGTGGTGGGGTGCAGGGGCACTGGCAGCTGCCACGCGTGTGGGGGGTGCATGGGGGGTTGTGCCTGCTGGGCTGCCAGCACGGGGCTTATGGGTGCAAGTGTGGTACGGGCACATGGGGCATGTGGGGCATGTGGGGCATATGGGGCATGTGGGGCATGTGGGGCATATGGGGCATGTGGGGCATGTGGGGCATGTGGGGCATGTGGGGCATGTGGGGCATATGGGGCATGTGGGGCATGTGGGGCATATGGGGCATGTGGGGCATATGGGGCATGTGGGGCATGTGGGGCATATGGGGCATGCGGGGCATGTGGGGCATATGGGGCATGTGGGGTATGTGTGGCATGTGGGGCATGTGGGGCATGTGTGGCATGTGTGGCATGTGTGGCATGTGGGGCATGTGTGGCATGTGTGGCATGTGGGGCATGTGGGGCATGTGTGTGTGCGGGCTGAACAGTGGGAGTAGCAGGGGAAGGTGAGACAGGAAGAGGATTGAGTGCAGAAGGTGCTGTGTTGGGTGCAGCAGAGGGTGCAAACGAGGGCAGAGCATATGGGAGCGCACTCCTTGACACGTCCACAACTGGCACTGGCTGCCCAACGCCTCCACCTCCCACTGTGCTGTTTTGCACACCCTCCCCTGACCATGCCTGCGAACCATTCACAGCTGCTGCTGCTGCTCCCAGTGGCTGCTGTCCTGTGCTGCCCGCACTCCCACCCGCACTCCCAACACTAGCTGACCCCCCCCCTGCACCCACCCCCCCTCCCACGTCCGTACCCGCCACCGCAACTGCCACCTGTTCCGCTACAACCCGTGCGCCCATCCCACTGCCTGTAGCAGCAGCAATGACATGAGTGGCAACAGCAGTACTGGCAGCAGCCACACCAGCAGCAGTGGCGGCATATCTGACAGCTCCAGCACCAGTACCAGCATCAGCAGCAGCAACCCTGCCAGCAGTGGCAGCACTGGCAATGCCCTTTGCACCACCTTCTCTCCCACCTGCTGCTGCCCTCATCCCCCCTCTCCGTGCGCCCAACCCATCCCTCCCACCCACCTTCGCCCCCTTTCTCCCCAGCCCTCTGCCTGCCTCTCTCCCCCTCTCATCCCTCCCTTTCTTCCCCCCTGCCCTCCAATCCCCCCCCTTCGTCCGATCTCGCTCGCCCTCGCTGCTGCGCTCATAAGGGGGCGACGGGGTGGAAGGCACCCACGAGGCTGAAGAGGCCCAAGAGGCATGTGAGGCCAACGAGGCGGCATCCACGGACATCACATCAGCCGACATGCGCCCGATGATGCTCGCCACCTCCTCCACTCCCGCCCTCACTCGCTCCGCCTCCTCCCCTCTCCCCACTCGTCCCTCCTCGTCCCACCGTCTTCCCGCTGCCCCATAAACCACGCTTCCCCCACCTGCTCCCCCCATCTGCGCCATCCCCCATGCCACTGCTGTCTCCTGCTCCCCTTCCATCCCTCCTTCCTCACTCCCCTCCTCACACCCCTCCTCATTCCCCTCTTCATCCACTGCCTCCATTCCCCCCACGCCCCCTGCACCTACACCTGCACCTGCTGCTACCTCTGCTCCATTCACGTCTGCCTCCTCACCGTCTCTCCTGCCCACACCCTCGCCCTCCACCCCTCCATCCTCTCCCGGTCTACCCTTCTTCCCCTCCCCCTCTCCTCCACCACTCATACCTGTTTCTGTCCAGTCGACACTACCCCCCTCCCCCTCGTTTCCCTCCGTCCATTCCTCCTCCTCCTCCTCCTCCTCCTCCTTCTCCTCCTCCTCCTCCTCCTCCTCCTCCTCCTCCTCCTCCTCCTCCTCCTCCTCCTCCTCCTCCTCCTCCTCCTCCTCCTCCTCCTCCTCCTCCTCCTCCTCCTCCTCCTCCTCCTCCTCCGCCTCTCCACTCGCCTCTCCACTCGCCTCTCCACTCGCCTCACTAGCCATCATGCACTCAATATCCACACTGCTCCTCAGCATCCCTCTGAACTGAGCTGCAACGTCCACCGCTGTCACTGTTCCCTCACTCTCCAATCCCTCACTCCATCTCCCCATACCACGACCACCCTCACCCTTTCGTGCCTTAGTCACATGACCACCAGCACCACTATTCCCATTTGCTTCAGCCCCCGCACCCCTGCTTCCCTTCCCTGCCCCAATTCCCATACTCCTCACCCTCGTCCCCCTTCTCTCATTCTCTTCGCCTATCCCTCTCCCTCTCCATCCGCCTCTCCCTCTTCCTCTCTCTCGGCTCCTTCCTGTGGAGCTGCCAGCAAGAGTGGCGATGATGGTGGCGGGGGAGAAGAGAGCGTTGCTGTGCAGCGTCACAAGGGGGGAAGACGCCACATGGGGGATGGATGGCAGGGCCATGGACGCAAGAGGGGAGGACAGCACAGCCGCAAGGGCACCTGGAGTTGACCTTCCCTCCCCCATCAAGTCTCCCTTCTCTTCCGCGGCTTTCTCTTCCTCTCTCCCCTCAGCTTCCCCCCCTTCCTCCTTCCCTCCCTCATGTTCCCCTTCCTCCCCTCCCTCCTGCTCTCCGTCCTCATTTTTTTCCTGTGCCAACCCTTGCACGAGCACTTGGGGAATCGTCCGGCCATCTGCCAGTCCACCATTACCTTGCTGACCACGAGCAGGACGTGCAGAGTGGTGCAGAGAAGGTGCGGAGTGGTGCACAGGAGGTGCGGAGTGGTGCACAGGAGGTGCGGAGTGGTGCAGAGGAGAGGATGGGTCGTCCAATGAGGTGTCATGCCATGCTGATGTCAGCCCTGACATCATACCCACATGCACCTCCACGTTCTGATGTCCACGCCCATGCCCATGCCCAGACCCAGACCCAGACCCATCCACACGCCCATCTGCTGGCATGTGCCCATCTCGCCCGCCCCCCACCTCACACTCGTACTTTTCCCCCACTGCTCGCCGTTTCACACCCCTTCTCCCCTCTTCCCCATCACCACCCACCCCACTCCCTCCCTCCGTCTCACTCCCCTCCTCCACAACTCTGTTGCCTCTCCGACTCTCTCCCCCACTGCTCATGTGCTCCTCTGCTCTACCTGCCTTGCACCTCGCCCTCCTCCCTGTGCCACCTGCAGTCCTGTTATCCCCACCTTCATTGTTCCCAGGTAAAGTAAACGGTGCTGCCAGACAGTCGGTGCCTCTATTGCTTCTGCCTCTACTGCCGCTGCTACTGCTACTGCTGACGCTGCTACTGCTGCCGCTGCTGGTGAGGATAATGCTTGGGGTACCAATGCTGCCGCTGCTGCTGCTGCCGGTGCGGGCGTGGAGAGCAACGGCACAGGGAAGCAGCGGAGGCGCGAGGCGGGCGCAGAGGGGCGGAGGGAGGAGGCGGCGCAGGAGGGGGGTCATGAGGAGGGCGAGGAGGAGGAGGGGGAGAGGGAAGGAGGCGGCGAGGAAGGGGAGGTATGACCACCCGAGCAGCAGGCCGGCTGAGAGGCACTCGAGCGAGGTGAGGCGGCGGAGGAAAGGGAGGGCGGACGGGGGGAGTGGGGGGAGTGAAGGGCGACGGGAGGGGTGGGCGAGAGAGAGGAGGAGGTGGAGGTGGAGTGAAGGGGGGAAGAGGAGGATGGCCAACTGCCAGGGGGGCAAGAGGTGGGTGGGAGAGGCAGAGCGAGGGAAGGAGAAGGAATGTGTATTACAGCACAAGGAAACACATGGCGCGACTATAAGCACGGGAGGGTGGATATGGGATGGGAAGCATGCACATGCGGATGTGGATCGCTGATCACTGAAGGCCCACAGACAGGGGCCAAGCTGCCCGCTGACTGCTGCGGGTACGTAAGGAACCCCTCTGCAGGGACAACATGCTCTCTGTATGCCACTCTGCATGCAAAGGAGACGGTTGTTCAAGAGGGGGGCCACTGCACCGTAGTAGTCATACCCACAACGAAGGACGAATCACACCCCCTTTCATGTGACTACACCTTTCATTTCTTATGAATAATCACCAGTTACTGCAATGCTAGTGCAAGAGCGTCATTCACAGCCATGCACGAGAGTGGCCGAATGCTTCATTCCATGTAAAACACCTAAAGCACTCACCGCCATGCACGTGCCGATGAGGGGTGCGACGGGCACGAGGGTGAGGAAGCGAGCAGGCGTGGCAGGCAGGGCGAGCAGCGCCAGCAGAGCCGCCAGCAGCCCCCCCACGGTGCGCCACTCACACACCAGCGCCGCCAGGGGGGCAGGGGGGTGGCGTGGGGCGTGGGGAGCACGAGTGGCTGGCACAAAGGAGTTCGCCTGGCTGCCAGCTGCGAGCGGCACGAGTGGCATGAGCGGCAGCAGCATGGAGTCGAATCCGGATCTCACTGTGGTGCTGGCATGGCGGGACGACTGCTTGTGTGGCCGGGCTACATGAGGGGCCGCACTGCAGCGTTGAGTGGCAGTTGTGACTGTGGCACGTGTGGCAGGTGCAGTGGCGGGTGCATGCTTGAGCAGGTATGAGAGGCGGATGGTGCTCTGGCGGGGAAGGAGGGCACACGAAGGGGGGGAAAGGGGAAGGGGGGGGCAGCAAGATGGGAGTGGATGAGTGCTGGTGTGAATTGTGTGAGTGCACCCATGTGCCATTGGTGGCTGGCCGTGCAGTGGAACCGTTTTGGAGAATCCGGAAGAACAGGGGCGAGTCTCGTAGAGAAGAAAGGCAGACAAAACTCAAAGTGGGCGGTGGCAGGATGTGGCACACAAATGGGGCGTATGGATATGGAAGGGTGCACAGGCAATAGTTACCAGATATGGAATGCGGATGGCAGGAGGGAGGCCGAGCAGGAGACAGAGAGCCACCACAACGGCAGTCACACACAGGTCCCACTCCCTCACACTCACTCTCTCACACCCTCTCTCACTGCTCACTACCATTCCCACTGTCCCTGCTGCACCCCCCTCTCCTGCATCCACTCTCCATCCCTCTTCATCCTCCTCGTCCTCCCCTCCACCTCCACCAAACTCCCACCCATCATTTCCCCCCACCACCTCCTCAACCCTTCCCCCACCCTGCTGATGCCCTTCTCCTGTGCCTCCTGCTAGTTCCCCCACGACCATACCCCACTCCACGTCCCCTGCCCTCTCCGCCTCTCTACCCTTCACTCCCCACCTCGTCACCCCTGCTCCCCTCCACTTCCTCGCACGGTCTGCTCCCCAAGCCTGCTCTGCCCTCACACGCTGCCCACACCCCGCAGCAGCATGCAACTGTGCCTGAGGTGTTGGAGAGTGTGGGGTGCGGTAACGGGCGGTAGCGAGGAAGAGGGGGGGGTTGGGAGGAAGGGGGTCACGACTCACGCAGGGGAGTGGAAATTGAGAGTGTAACAGGGGGCATGGACGAGGGAAGTGGAGGAATACGTGAGTCAAGGAAGGAGGAGGGGATGGGAGGGAGGGAATGGGTGATGGCAGGAGGAAACAGAGTGTGGTGTATGGGAAAAGCAGGGACGGGGAAAGAGGAGGGATGAAGGTGATGAAGGCAACTTAAGAGGGCGTTCATCGTTGGCATGCTTTCGCTCAGACGAGGGAGAGAACAGCACCAGCACAACACGCACCTCATGCTGCAGCGCTGCTCCTCACCTCATGCTGCAGCGCTGCTCCTCACCTCGTGCTGCAGCGCTGCTCCTCACCTCGTGCTGCAGCGCTGCTGTGTTGTGCGCGTGGAAGAGCAGCGCCGCCAGCAGCGCTCCCGGCAGTGCCGCTGCCAGGGCCGCCCCCACTGACACGCCCCCCAAGTGCGCGCCCCACGGGATGGGCGGGATGAGGGGCGGGGCGACCTGCAGTGGCAGCTGGTAGGCGAGCAGCGGAGGGAGATGGAGGAAAGGGGGCACCGCCAGGAGCACTGGGGGAAAGACGAGGGGGAGGAGGGGTGTGCGATGGAAAGGAGAGGAAAGAGAGGAGTGAGAGGGGAATAGAGACGTACAAGGCACATGCGCCCCCAAGGCACATGCGCCCCCAAGGCACATGCGCCCCAAGGCACATGCGCCCCCAAGGCACATGCGCCCCAAGGCACATGCGCCCCCAAGGCACATGCGCCCCAAGGCACATGCGCCCCCAAGGCACATGCGCCCCCAGGCACATGCGCCCCAAGGCACATGCGCCCCAAGGCACATGCGCCCCAAGGCACATGCGCCCCCAAGGCACATGCGCTCCAAGGCACGTGCGCCCCAAGGCGACCTTCCTAACACACCGGTTGGGCCGGCAGGTTTGAGCGCTGTGGCTACAACCCCTCAGAGAGCGCTGTGGCTACACCCCCTCAGAGAGCGCTGTGGCTACACCCCCTCAGAGAGTGCTGTGGCTACATCCCCTCAGAGAGCGCTCCATGCCATGCCAGGAGCTTCGGCGGCCAAGTTCGGCAAGAAGCTGGTGGTGCTGCCTCCCTGCAGGCAGTCGCGTGCCCTCCCTCCCTACTTTTCATACCCTCCATACCCTCCATACCCTCCATGTCCTGCACCCACCAGGTCTCAGACTAGTCTGTCATGGAACCAACCTTACAGACATTCATCTCTCCATGCGTCAAGGCAACAGCAAGAAGCAGGGATATAAAACAAAGAGTGGCAAGGCTGGGAGGGGCCAGCTCTATCCTCAGCAGCGAGTCCCCTGGTCCGGGTATGCCTCGGACCGAACCTGTTGGGCAGGCTTGGGAGCAACTCGAGATGGGCCAGCGCAGGCCCATACCGTGCATGCTCCCTTTCTATCTCAGGCAAAAACGTAGAAGCGAGTGAGAGAGAGCACCAGAGAGTGATGGAGAGAGCACACGTAAGTGAGGGAGAGAACATGCCTGCAGAGGCGAGGAAGGCCAGTATGAGAGCATAGTGGGCAAGTGAACCACGGATGTAGCCACTCAGAACATGCCACGTGGCAGCTCTGCTAAGCCACAGTGCAATGATGACCCCCGCCGCCGCCACACACACCGTCGCAAACGCCACCGCCTCCCCTCCTGCCACCGCCTCCCCTGCTGCCTGCCTGAAACCCTCCGCACCCATCTGCACCGCACCTACAAACAGCACTCCGCTCGTCACCACACCCTCCACCCGCCACATGGCAGCACCCCACTGGTCCGCCACCCGGCACGCATTCCCCCCCGCGGCGAGCAGCAGGAAGACAGCCGCCCAGAGCCCCACCCACCCCGCCCAGGGCAGGAAGGGCACCCCCAGTGCACCACTCACCCGCCACAGCGCGCCCATGAGCGCCGCTCCCAGGGGGCTGGGCGCGGGGGCGGTGGCAGGCAGGGCGGAGAGCAGAGAGAAGAGGGCCTCAGCGAGGGCGGTGGAGAGGAGGGCGTGGCGGGGCGCCAAGGCATGGCGGGTGAGCAGCGCCAGCAGCTGCCCCACGGCCACGCAGTGCAGCAGGGAATGCAGCGCGCAGGGGAGGATGGCGAGAGCTGCCTGGTTGCTGATGCCACACCCCCCCACGCAGGTGGCGCCTGGGGGAGGTGGTATCTGAGGGACTGGTAGTGAGGGATCGTGCTCTTTGCTGCTGCTGCTGGGGGTGGTGAGTGCTGGTAGTTGGAACACGGCGGAGGATCGCAGGGCAGTGATGACGTCATGAAACAGCCAGCTGGCGCCGTGTGGTTGGTTGGAAGTCCGCTGTATGTATCTAAACTCTTCTTGCTCCTCGTGCTCCCCACGCGCCTCCCCTTCGGCCCCCACGTCCACCACCACCATGCCTTGTCCCATCCGCTTACCCCCCTCGTTTCCCTGATCATCCTCTTCCACCCATCTGCTCTCCTTGCTATCCCCGCTCACCCCTCCCCCTGCCCCTCCATGTCCCCCCACTGCTCCTCCCCCCTCATCCCCCAGCCCTCTCCCGTCCGCCTGCGCGCCTCCTCTTCCCACGCCTGCGCCCTCCCTGCGCCCAGCGCGGAGGTAAGCGGGGAGGGCGGAGGGCAGCTTGGGCGCGCTGTTGGGCGCGGCGGAGGAGGGGAGAGGGGCGGACGCGGAGGTAGTACTACTGGGGGATGCGGGGGTGATTTCCGGAAGGCGGTGAGGATGCGCTGACAGCGGCATCATACTTGGCGATTAATCGCCCGGCGGAAAAGGGGCGAAATCCAGTCCAGTCCAGTTGCGCTGGACGGCAATCACTGCAGTCCCGTCCGTGCGATGAGTGCGGTTCATGAGAAGGCGAAAGCTAGGAGGCACCGAAAGGCTCGGTGTGCGTTGGCTCGGCCGCGCTCCTCCACCGCCTCCGGCCATTCCCACTCTCTCGTCCACTGACACAGCGGCTCGCCAGCAACAAGGGTCGCACAGCAAGAGGCCAGGGGCAGGCGGCGGGGGGTGGGGTTGTGCGACGGGGCCTTGAGGGGCGACGGCTGAGATTCGCGCAGGAGAGGTCACTGCTGCTGAATGGACGACGAGAGATTCGCAACACGCCATTCGAGAAGCGCGAGATGGGACGACGCGAGAGGGAGAGAGGGTCCGGGAGACATGCGACATGGGAGCGACACGCACACGCAACTCAGCGAGTCACGACACTTGGGGATTGCAACCGCAGAGGAGTCGAGCCGCGGGAATTACCCGTCGGGGGAGCCGTGCGGTGCTGGCGCAATGCCGTGGCAACGGAATGTGTATCGGCGCGCAGCGAATGAGACTCACTCGACTGGACGACGGCGAACGACTTGGCCTTAGGTTCGAGTCTGCGACGAATTCAGCGAGGCGGGCACAGCGAGGAATGAGAGGGTGGTGACGGTTGACGGGCGTGACAGCGTGACGGTTCTTAGGAGAATGCGAAAGACCCATACGCGATAATGGGTGGGTGTATGTTTATCTACTTAGTCGGGAATTCGGCAGGGAATGTGTAGTGATGTAAAGAGTGCAATTGAGTGATCGAGCTAGAATTGCACTATCGAGGCAAACAATACCGTCTGGCCCCCGATAGTAGCGCATACGCGCTTACAATAAATTCATTTTTTAAGGCGCTTATAATTGAGTAACGGCCATAAGCGCCAGCGCATTTGTAACGGCTCAATTGAACTTTATTTTTAAAGATACCAAACTGAAGCCCTCAATAAGGCGAATACAACAGTCAGGCCCTCAGATATCAGCGTAAAACACGCTGATTACGCTGATTTTGTAGCTGTGATTTTCGTTTTCCCTGAAAATTCAGCATATGCTTCAATTTTGCACTGAAATTTCAGTATAACCAACCTTGCCACACTGACCATTTTGCGTGTTGCTGTACACGTAACACTGACGAATCAGTATGGTGATGTGAGTCACACTAAAAAGGAGTTGACCGCGTGGGGGGGGAGGGGTTGGGGGCAGGGCCTCAGATTCCATGAATTTTACCGTGATTTCCTGCTGTTTGACCCCTGTTATTTATTGTAACCCTGATGAATCAGCCTTTTTGTTTTTACAACCCTGATGAATCAGTGTTTTTCTTTTCCTAATCCTGATTTTCCAGTGTTTCTAGTTTGTCGACACTGACGAGTCAGTGTTGTATCGGAGACGACCCTGAAACCGAAAACTCCGTGATTCTCGCAGTTTTGCGCGCCGTCATCATGCATGAACCCACCCTGCACCGACGCCACCCTGCGGCGCGCCCAGATACAGTTGAACGGGTTAATTTCGGGCTGTGTTGGCAAAACGCGTTAAGAGATTGGCTGTCCCAGCTGAAGCAATGTACCGTTGTCACGTTGGATAACCTACACTTGTCATTACTTTCCATTGATGTGCACAAACAACCAAGCCTAGTGGCCCAGTGGGCCAGTGGTCTGCCTTGTTCTTTCCACCAAGGCAGGGCGTGCTGGGGCGGCCCGCTCAGGCACCCCACGTAGGGGGTCTCGTGATTCTGCCATTCCAGCTCTCCAGACTTCATCCCTTTCCGAAACATCAATCTCTGCAGTCTCCCTGAAGCCTGCTCGGCAGGCTCTCTCTCTCCCAGGGTTTCTCGTTACTACTCACCGATTCAGGAAGGTGACGTGAACGCGCCATGGCGATCACCGGTGAGAACAGCTGCGGTGATGATGACGACGATGCACTTTATGCCGCCACCGAGATGCTGGAGGCCAGAATGGGACTAGATTTTCTAGTTTCCGAGCTCTCCCATGAAAAAGAGAAGCCAGGTCCCGTCGCCTCAGTAGCAAACACTGGTGAAGCGTCTGGCCTCTGCTGCGGAGACGATTGTCCCCAACCCGCGCATACTGCAAAGCCGGCCGTGCCGTCAGCAGCCGGACCGAGCGTCCGCTTGCGATCTCGTGCGTCGTCGTCGAAGCCTCCGCCTCGTTACAAGCAGGCCGTGCTCCGTTGGGCCGATCCTACAGATCCTGGACGTCCTATCGCTGATGCCGGCGAGTCGGTAAACCACGTTACGCCCACGCCATCTAACTCTAAAAAACCGTCACTAACCACTCTGATTTACGAAGAGGCCCTTGAAACGTTCAAGTCGACGTGGTCGACCGACTACCCGTGGCTCATCCTCATAAAAAATGTCAGACTTTATATTATTTATATTTGTAACTGCCTGTAGCTGTAGTTAGTGTAGTTATTGCAAATTTTGTTAGGTGGTGCACCCTTTTGTTTCCTATGCTATATGTTCCTTGAACCTATAGTGAAACTCACCTTTTCACCTTCACAACTTTCTCGACTCTCCCCCTTTGGGCCCAACTCACTCGATACCTAAGTTGGGCCTAGGCTCCTAAGCCTAGGCCCTTACGTTCTAATTTCTTTAACATGTTATCGGAGCATTTTTACGACCTGGCCTGTGTGCCCGCCTTACGCTTCCGCGATGAGTTTTCGGTCGCGCGCCTAGGGCGCGTGACGATTTTTAATTAGTCCCGCCCACGGGTGTGTGGCTCCTTCTCTGCCCGTCGCGCGCCCCGTGGCACGCGACGGTGCCCTTCATCTGCCCATCGTGCGCCCCGTGGCACACGATGGTGCCCTGCTCATCGTGCGCCCCTAGGCGCACGATCGGGCCCGTTTTCTTCTCCTACCCGTCGTGCGCCCCGTGGCACTGGCCCGCGACGGGCCTTTCCGCCCCTGCACTCCCTGGAGCCGCCCCTGACCCATCTACACCGACACCTTTTCGCCGCTCTGCGGCTTTCTTCCTTCCCACCCCCCTCCTCCTTTGTCTCCCTGCATCCGTGGGGAGGAGGGTATGGGGGTGGAGGGTGTTGGAGTGTGGCGTCACCTCTCTCCCTTCCCCTCCTCCTTCTTTCAGTCCCACCGCTGCAGCTGCCGCTGGGGGGGGAGGGTGTGAGGATGTGGGGGAGCAGGGGGAGTGGTACCGGGGTGGCGGGTGTGAGGCAACATGCAGCCATCCCTCCACCTCTCCTCTCTTCCCCCTTTCTCTGCTGCTCCTGCAGCAGTGTGGGGGAGGGGAAGGAGGAGGGTGAGGAGATGGAGGGGGTGACCACTTAGTGTCAGCCCGCCTGCATTACCTGCTGTTGCTTGGTTATTATCTTGCTTGTGTTGCTTGTGTACCCCTGCAAGTTGTGTTCTGCACAAACTTCTGCTGCAGGCAGTTATGGGGGAGTGTCAGACTTTATATTATTTATATTTGTAACTGCCTGTAGCTGTAGTTAGTGTAGTTATTGCAAATTTTGTTAGGTGGTGCACCCTTTTGTTTCCTATGCTATATGTTCCTTGAACCTATAGTGAAACTCACCTTTTCACCTTCACAACTTTCTCGACTCTCCCCCTTTGGGCCCAACTCACTCGATACCTAAGTTGGGCCTAGGCTCCTAAGCCTAGGCCCTTACGTTCTAATTTCTTTAACAAAAAACACTGCTGGCATGCCTGCGTTCAAGTGCAGATTGTGCATCGACTTTGAAGGTGATGGTGGCAAGTGTGGCAAGAGTGGGCACGGTGCAACCGATCTTCAGACCCAAGCCTTCAAGCGGCATGCCGCGACGAACAAGCACCAGTTGGCCATCAATCACCAGAAGCAGATGCTAGCTCAGGCTGGGAAGCAGCCGCGAATTGACGAGCATACGCTCGCCAAAGATGACGAGACGACCCACGTCATCAGCCTTCTGAACTCCCTTCACTTCACCACCCAGAACCATCTGCCCATGGAGACGTGGGTGCGCCTCGTTCGCTACATGGCTCAGAACGAGGTCAGCGGCTTTCCCAAAAAGGGATACGGCACTTACTACACCACGTAAGTGCTTACAAGCGCATGCATTAATAGCCTCTCCTGTTCACAACCACGTAAGCCTAACAAATATGTTCGGTGTCTTGCAGGTACGTCTTTGGGGAACTAACACAGGCAACGGCCGTGTGGCTGCAGACAACACAACTCGAACACGTCCTACAAAGCCACTACATCGGCCTCAGCTGTGACGAGTCTACGGACAGATGCCGTGGGAAGCATCTCATCATCTATGCCACATTCATCCGCGACGGGGCAGTAGTCACCGAGTTCTTTGCCCTCCTAACCGTGGACAGGGCAGACGCCGCATCGCTGGTGGCGTTGCTCTTATCCCATGTCAATGCCGTCGGCATTGACCTGCGCCGAATCACGGGAATCAGCATCGACAGGGCGAGCGTCATGGTTAGATCCAAAAACGGGCTGGTGGCGAGGCTGAGGACGCGCGTTCCGCATCTGGTGTCCTGCCACTGCATCGCTCACAGGTACGGTGGTTGATGTAGTGTCCGATGCGACTGGTATTAGTTATTCGAATATGGTGTCCTTCCTTCTACTTAACCAAATGCGACTGTTTTTTGTTTTAATCGCAGGGAAGCACTCGCGGCCAAGGACGCAACAGAGTCCCTAACGGAGTTTGGCATGGTCGACAGCTTCATCCGCTGGCTCTCCACCTACCTCGGCTCATCAGGACCCTGGCACCAGCGCTTCCTGGACCTTCAGGATGTTTTCACTCAGACTAACCTGGAGCTCCAAGGAATCAATGATGTGCGTTGGCTCTCACGCGGCGATGCAGTCTGCCGACTTCTTGCAGTCCTTCCGGGGGTCGTCGTGATGGTGCACGAGCTGGGAAACAAGCCCATGCACCAGATGGTGACCAGCTACAGATTCCAGTTCATGCTGCGCTTCCTCACTGACGTGCTGGAAC